TGTGTTTTTATTGCACCAATTGCAAACAATGTTGTAACATTTTTCGGTGAAAAATGAAACTTTAGAATAGATTATAAATAAAACTTTAGAGTAGATTATAAATAATGCTAGACCACTTAAAAACTCCATACTTTAATATGTGAAAGTGCTAGCTAAATATGTTATTGCAGAGAGCAGTTTCAAAGTGCAACAGAAAGAGTTACAGCTTATACAGAAAAGACCTGCGTAGGGTTCATGGGTTTGCACAAATCAACCTTTTGCTCATTTATTGTTCTTCAACGCAGACATGAATAAACTGGCATGGTCTCCCACAAAAACCTTATCTCTGCTTAAAGTCAGACTGCTGGATTCCTCACTCTGAATAAAAGTGAATCCACACGAATCCTGGCTGTTACAACTTATCATATAAATAATCATATGTGATGAATGAACAAGATGTTTACATCAAGTGTTTGAATAACCTGTGCTTAAATCAATGAATATGAAATGAATTTTGTTCTTACAATGATCCATTTATATCACAAATCACTGTTTGATTTAACAAGTTAATCATTATCTACACTCACACACATCTTCATAAGATACAAGTTAAGTTTAAGGTTCACCTCACATAACGTTTAAAGATTCTTTATTCACAGAATTAAGAATCTTGTATCTGAAGGAAGGCGTGGCTTTCTGAGGAATGTTTTGGTAAAGCCTTCCAGATATGGCACATTCTGATTTGCCAGAATGGTCGGAAATCATAACATTGTGGTTTATTAGAACAAGAATTACTTCCCGATTAATTCGGTTTCCAGCTGACTCCCGATTCGGCCAAATCGGGAAAGAAGCCTCTTTTGAAACGATCTTCTTTGACCTTAAAGGGACTTTACAGAGTTTTGAATTTTTAATGCTCGCGAATGCCCCCTCAGGCCAAAAGCGTAACGGCAGCTTCAATAGTAGGCTCGTGCACAAGGCGCGCATGCTGTACGTGCACACTCCTTAACAAAAATAACAGCTGAGACGGTCCCGTGTGTGTGGCCCGGAGGACAGAGGACAGGAGAACACACAGCTAATTAATTAAATTAGTTGGTTCTGTACCTTTCTCTTCAGCACAGCCGACAAAGGTTTATGATGGGTCAGTCCTCCTGCATGCTCAGATCATTCCCTTCCCTTGCTTGAAAAATTGTTCCAAAATAAAAGTTGAACCCACATATTTTTTTATCTGTGAATTCAATGCTGTTCAGCGAGTCTCAAATAAAAATTTGGGCATCTTACTGTAAAAAAATATACCATTAATGTAAAAAAGAAACTAAATGAACTATGTTCACATCCAGAATTGAACCCAGGTCTTCTGCATGAGAGTCCAACGTCTTACTAGATGAGCTAAAGCGCCAATGATGTCCTTTGTATCTGTAACATTTATATCCTTGATGACAGCTGAAACAACGTTCAAAGAACGGTTCGGAGCGAAAATGGCTATTTTGTTGCTAATTTGCAGGAAATATCTAGAAGAAAGTTTTACAGAAAGTAGCTAAGGGTCCTCAGAAATGTAGCTAGCTTTGTCACTAGGCGTTAGGAACAGCGACAAAGTGGCACTGCCTCTCTCTGCTGCTAAAGCTACAGATAGCAAATGCTACGGGCTATGCCTGAGCGTGAACGCGCATGAAGCAGCCAGCTCGACCCGAGCATCTCTCTTTTTCTGTGATTTTACAGAAAAACAGGCAATCACAGTAAAAATGCCAGGGCTCATTCTACAGGACCAGGGCATTGCAGGAGAATGTATGAAGAAGACATTTATTATTTCTATACATGTTTTGGCTGTCAAACTTCCATATAGTCCCTTTTAGCCAAAACCTTTCTGCGACGCTGCAAGTGATTACAGACACAACAGCTCTTTCAGAGCTACTTCAACTCTGACATCCACCTTGGACACCTAACCTGCAGACCCCAGGTTGCATCTCATGGCCAGGGAAGCTGAACTCAGAGGAAGCTACTAATCTCTTGAGTATCGTGGTTTCGACGTCCGGTGACCTCACCACTCTGACCGCAACCCTCCGGACCGCCGGGAGCAACTCATACAAGGGTATCGTAAGCCTGCATACTGGTGTCTTGACGAAGTTTATATCAATAACTAACTCTCTTGTTTATAACAACCAACAAATTCTTTTACACCCAGCTTTCACAATTGTAGTACATGAAGGGATGGACATGGTCAGAAACAATGTTCAGGTAGCCCGTGGCATTTATACCATGCCCAGTTGGCACTAAGGGGCCTAAAGTGTGCCAAGAAAACATGCCCCACACCATTACACCTCCACCACCAGCCTGCACAGTGGTAACAAGGCATGATGGATCCATGTTCTCAGTCCGTTTACGCCAAATTCTGACTCTACCATTTGAATCTCTCAGCAGAAATGGAGACACATCAGACCAGGCAACATTTTTCCAGTCTTCAACTGTCCAGTTTTGGTGAGCTGGTGCAAATTGTAGCCTCTTTTCCCTATTTTTAGTTGTAGCATGTTAAACTACATACTAGAATCAACACTGTTTGCTATCATTTGTTAGATTCTGAGAAAAGGTCCAAATGAGTTAACAATGAAGCTTTTATCGTATATAAATATCTAGGATATTATATATTTGATAGAAGTTCATATGCCAACGAGCTTGGTCTATTTTTAATCCAAAGATTAATGTTCAATTTTAGATAATTAAATTTAATAGCAAAAGTTTATTTATTTAATCAGAAGTTAAAGGAATCTTTGCTTTTTCAATAACCAGATATACACACCATTCTGTTTAATTTCAAAGAAAGAGTCAAGTTTTTAAAGTTGAGAATTTATTACTAACACTTATGGAAAAAAATGACAATTTGAAATGACTATTTAGAATGACAATTTTTGAACAGACAATTTGATATTAAACTTGTTTTAAAGGCAAACCTGTGACTGAATGAAAGCTAAAATGGAAATGAGAGTTTTGGATGCGTGAATGAATATCAGAAGGTTTCTTTCAGAGAGAGAAGAACGTTCTGGGTTGGAAATGATGTTTTGCGGCTAACTTGGTCGTTTCTTAGGAAGAACAGCATCAAACACAATCTGTCAGAATGTCTACCTCACCCAGTATAGGAGACCCTCTTCTGGATCCGAGACGTCAGGTGTAGATGGTTTCCTCCAGGCACGGGGTTGGTAGAAGGACCTTAGTGCAACCAAATCGGTCCTGAGATGTCTCCTCGGGTCACTCGACTGGTGGAACTATTTGCGTCTCAAAATGAATAACTCTGAAGGAGTTTTGCATCAGCTGGTTATCGTTATGTTTATTCAGGGCAGTCGGCGTGACAGGATGCTTAGTAGAGATTCGGGCGGCCGTTCCCTCGTCTCCTCGTATGGTTCAAGAACTGAACTTTTGCTGCTGGAATTCGTTTTTAACAAAACCCTCAGATCACGCCCACTCTCGGCATCAGAAAGCTTGGTCATGAGTAAAAGACGTGATGATTTTACCCTTTTAGCTGGATATCCCTTCTGAATGAGGCTGTTTACTTGCAAGATGACTTTCTGGTTTGCTGAACACACATAACCGATTATCACAATAATCATTATCATACCCAAAGCATAATAAATCATTTCAGTAATTGAAATACATTTACTGAACCAAAAGATTATTTATGATGATTGTAATGACAGTAATAAAGTCAAGTTTATTAAAATTATTGTTTAAAATTATTATTGTGAACTTGAAGTGTCCTTCATTCTGGGACGGAACAGCAGCAGATAAAGATGATTTTCAGCAGACATCATGGCTCCTGGCTTGTTTAATCTGTGGGGCAAAGTTACAGTCGACCCAGCTTGACCCAGCTGGGAAAATGTGACCTTTGTCACAAATTAGAGGCCATTCATGACGCTACATAGTGGAGATGAGTGGTACCCGGTGGGCTCTTCTGCTGTTGTAGCCCATCCGCCTCAAGGTTGTGCGTGTTGTGGCTTCACAAATGCTTTGCTGCATTCCTCGGTTGTAACAAGGGTTAGGCTCTTTCATCAGCTTGAATCAGTCAGCCCATTCTCCTCTGACCTCTAGCATCAACAAGGCATTTGGCCCACAGGACTGCCGCATACTGGATGTTTTTCTCTTTTCACACCATTCTTTGTAAACCATAGAAATGGTTGTGGGTGAAAATCCCAGTAACTGAGCAGATTGTGTAATACTCAGACCGGCCTGTCTGACACAAACAACCATGCCACGCTCAAAATAGCTTAAATCACCTTTCTTTCCCATTCTGACCTTCAGTTTGGAGTTCAGGAGATGGTGTTGACCAGGACCACGCCCCTAAATGCAGGGTGGTAGAGACGTATGGAGACGGTCGTTCTGAGACATGAGACTGTGTGTTTTTGGTGAACATTAATGCTGGAGTGTGTAAAACAGCTTATGTTTAATTAAAATAAAATAAAATATTTATTTAACTTGACATGAATTGTAATGCTTGACTGTTGTGCTACAGCCATGGGAGGAACATTTTGGGTCCCAGCCAGATTCTCTGCTTCCCTGCTGCTCTCTCCATCATCATGCTGCTCCTTGCTCTGCCTCTCCACTTGTCTCTCCTTCACTCACCTCCTCCACTTCGGCCTACTTGTCTAATATATTAGCCACATGTTAGATTCCCTTCAATCACCAATAGGAACGTTGGGAATATCACACGTATCACGGTACAGATCACTCAGAGGGAACTGGGTCATGATAAAGAACAATGAGCATCTTCATCTAACGTTACCTCAACATCTTCCTCGGCTTCCTTCCTCTTCTTCTGAAAATGCGAGCAGAAATGAGTCTCGGTGGGAACATGAACCGACATTAAGCTGTACGCTGTTGCCGATCTGGAATTACGCATTAACGACAGACCACATTGACTACGTTACTGTTCACATGTAGCAGCGTGCGTTAGCATGAAGCTGGTCTTCACAGGTCTGAACTAAAAATGCCTTCTTCTAATGTAAGGTTCCTTTCTTCCACCTTTTCTCTCCCTGTAGTTTTCTTTAACTCGTGAGAGCAGCGCACCGCACAGAAGCCGGCTCCTTCGCACACGGGGGGAAACGGCAGCACTGGTTTTTCAAAGTAAAATACATTTTAAAGTTTTGTTATATTTTAATTCATTTTAAACTGTGATAATTCATTCTCTGCAGTTTTGTGTCAGTTTAAGGCAGAAGGAAGAGCTCCTGAAGAACTGAGGCCTCCCTTTGACCCAGAAGGACATGGAGCCCCTCAACATGAAGCAGGAAGAGGAGGAGCAGCTTGATGAGATTAAAACTGATGCCACAAACATTTCATTCGCTGCAGTTTCTCATCAGTTTAAGGAAGAAGGAAGAGAAGTTCTGTTGTCACAGTTTGATCAGAACCAACCTAAAGACAGAGATCTTCCAACCAGCAGCACCACTGACCAGATGAAAGCAGAAAGTGGTAGACAGGACTGTGGAGGAGCAGAAACTACCAGGAATCCAGATCTAAATCTTTATGAATATGATTCTAACTCTTCAGAGACTGAAGTCAGCAATGATGAAGAGGATGACCAGGATGGCAACAATTCTGACTGTCAACTGAAACTCTTGTCAGATTCTGAGCCAAACACCAAAGATCATAACAAAGACTGGAAGGAGAGCAGGTCTTCTAAATTACATGTAAAGGCTGTCAAATCATTCAGCTGCCCAGAGTGTGGTGAACAGTTTCTCCATGAGCAGTCTCTCCAGAAACACAGAGTGAAAAGTCATTCAGGACTGAAGTCTTCAAGCTGTTATGTTGATAAGAAATGTGTTAGAGTGAAGCAAAATGTAAACTCTAGTAGGAAAGTTCAGACAAAACTAAAATCATTTACTTGTGACAACTGTGGAAAAAGTTTCCGCTCCATATCACATTTAAACCTTCACATGAGAGTTCACACAGGACAGAAGCCTTTTGCTTGTAAGCTCTGCGGACAAAGATTTAGTGATAAGTCAAATTTAAACAGACACATGAGTGTCCATACAGGACAGAAGCCTTTTGCTTGTGAGCTCTGTGGACATAGATTTACCCAAAAAGGAAATTTAGACATTCACATGAGAGTCCACACAGGAGAGAAGCCTTTTGCTTGTGAGCTCTGTGAAAAAAGGTTTGGTGAGAAGTCAAGTTTAAACAGTCACATGAGAGTCCACACAGGACAGAAGCCTTTTGCTTGTGAGCTATGTGAAAAAAGATTTAGTGTAAAGTCAAGTTTAAACATTCACATGAGAATCCACACAGGACAGAAGCCTTTTGCCTGTGAGCGCTGTGGAGAAAGATTTACCCAAAAGGGGCATTTAAACAAACACATGAGAGTCCATACAGGACAGAAGCCTTTTGCTTGTGAGCTCTGTGAAAAAAGATTTAGTGTAAAGTCAAGTTTATACAGTCACATGAGAGTTCACACAGGACAGAAGCCTTTTGCTTGTGAGCTCTGCGGACAAAGATTTAGTGAAAAGTCAAATTTAAACAAACACATGAGAGTTCACACAGGACAGAAGCCTTTCGCTTGTGAGCTATGTGAAGAAAGATTTGGTGTAAAGTCAAGTTTAAACAGTCACATGAGAGTCCACACAGGACAGAAGCCTTTTGCTTGTGAGCTCTGTGGACAAAGATTCACACACAAGGGACATTTAAACAGTCACATGAGAGTCCACACAGGACAGAAGCCTTTTGCTTGTGAGCTATGTGAGAAAAGATTTTGTGTAAAGTCAAGTTTAAACAGTCACAAGAGTGTCTATACAGGACAGAAGTCTTTTGCTTGTGAGCTCTGTGGACATAGATTCACACAGAAGGGAAATTTAGACAAACACATGAGAGTTCACACAGGACAGAAGCCTTTTGCCTGCAAGCTCTGGACAAAGATTTACCCAAAAGGGAAATTTAGACATTCACACGAGAGTCCACACAGGACAGAAGCCTTTTGCTTGTGAGCTCTGCAGACAAAGATTTGCTCAAAAGAGAAGTTTAAACTTTCCCACGAGAGTCCACACAGAACAGAATTAATGAACATGATTAAAATATTTATTTTGAGACTTCTACGGGTGTTGAATGAAATGTGCTACTGATCTGAAAGCTCTTTTAACTAAAATGAAAGGCAGCAGTTTTATTAAATGTTTTGGGGAAGAAAAGGTTGAAAATGAAATATTTTTTTGCCACTAAAGTAGGGCTGAAACGATTCCTCGAGTACCTCAAATAATTCGAGTACAAAATATCCTCGAGTCAAATTCTCTGTCTCGAAGCTTCGTTTAATTCATGTTTAATTAATTCATGGGTTTGCAATCGCCCGTGGTCATGTTTCACCCGGACCGCAATAAGTGACGCACATGCATACTGCACTGAATGCACACGCGAGTAGCGAATGTAACTTAACTTTATTTTAAGCTGTGGCGGACAACGTGGACCCCGGTGGAGTGCGAAAAAAACACAAAATGTCAAAGGTGTGGGACCATTTTTCACATCGTAAGGCGGAAAATGTACTCCAGTGTAAATACTGTAAAATGGATTTAGCCTACCACAACACTACATCCTCCATGCTGCAACCTGACCAGGAAACATCCACATGTAAACGTCACTTCTGCAAGCGGACTCGGAGCCTCTACAAGATAATGCATTTTAGCCTGTATTTCTATATATTCTGCGGACACTGTGCAACTTTTTCATTTGTAGCACTTAGTTTCAGCTCACACCGTACGTCTGGTAGCAACACGTTGGACTTTAAATGTGCTAAAAATAGCAGTTTTACAACACGTCAGACTTTTTACTGTGTTGTTATTCATGTCCGTTGTCTCTCAGGATTGCTGCAGGAGGACACAGGTATTTATGAGTGGCGGAGGAAAACGAAAGAAAGTAAATAAATGTTTTGTGATCAGTATAATTTGACATAACCACGGCAAACATGCTTTCGACAATCCTTGTTAGTGTGAGACAAAAAAAAGGGTAGAAATTAAAACGGACGGGTATTAATAGGGAAATAGCTGGCGAGCCATGTTTGCGCATGCGCCGTGAGCGGTTCTGGTGCTGTTTGGGCCGCAGCCGCTCGCATTTATTTACTGTGAAGTAAAGTTGAAGTGCTGAAGTTTTGAAAACTAATTTTAAATAAAACTTGAATAACTGGCAATTGCTTGCTCATTTCAAGAGGTCTTTCATATTTTATAACATGCTATTTGATATAATGGTTTAAAAACGCAAAAGAGTAATTTATTAGAGTACTGGATTAATCGATAAAAGATTCGATAAGAGTACTCGATTACAAAAATATTCGATAGCTGCAGCCCTATGCTAAAGTGTTTTATCAAATCTCTTTATACTCTATTCAGTTTGTATTTCGCCGTTTCTGGAGTTTAAACGTAAATGCTGATGTTTTGCAAAGTGAGATTGCTCGCCATCAAAGTCACCAGATTAATCCACAAGTGTAATTACCTGTCATGCAAATAAACCTGATCAAAAATTAATACCTATATTATCCATATTGTTTGACATCCAAATACAGTTGGAAACTCGGATTCACAGTTAGCAAAAGTATAAATCTGGTTTTCTCAAAAATCAGACTTTTGTGCAACAGTTATTAACCAGAATATGCACAATGAACTGTTTTTAACGTTTTTCAGGTAAAATAGTGCAAACTTATTTGAAATAACAGAGCATAAGATTTGCTCATCGATTCCAGAGTTCATCTAGCTCCACTGCACGGTGTAGCGGCTCTCCTTCGCACATCTACACATAACATTTTACTTTCTGTAATTACAATTCCAAGTTTCACTGTGACATATAGAAAAAGTTCATGTACAAGTTAGAAGGTTTTACTTTGCTGTTTAACGCTAACAGGGTACGCATCGGATGGAAAGGTAGCAAAAGCAGGTTAGCTTCATGTGGCGCTCAGCAAACTGGACTAAACCCGCCACTTCCATCGGTCTAGCTGCTTCACTCCCAAACCAAGGAAGATTCATCCACTGAGGTGGAAAGAGTACTACAATTTCCTACTTAAAGGTATAGCAATCGATGTTTCTGAATTTCAGGAAAGAGGCGCCCTCTCCACGTTGTGCAACACTCTCCCAGCACCTGTTTACAAGTAGCTGCCGGCCGTAATGTGTAACCCTGGGTTTCCACAGGAGCCGTCAGCAGCAAGTTACTGCAGTAGCACGTCTTGCTCGCGTAAACTGCTGCTTGGCCCTTCCCACGAGACGCGAAGCAGCAGAGGAGCAGCTGTCACCGACCGAGCACGAAGTGACACGAGTGACTTTGTCAGTAAACACAACAAGCAGGAGAAAACTACGACATGGCTCCAACATGTTTGTGTTTTATGTTCTGGCCGTTTTATAATCGCTAATACGGACCTGAAAAACAAAGGAGACCGCTAGCTAGGTGATAACTTCTCACGGGGCCGCACAGTTAGTAACCTTTTTTAAAGTAAAGCAACCGGAAGGCAGTACGTTCTTTATTCTGAAAATCTCGGGAGCTTCTCTCCATTTCCGCGTCCGATTTCCTGTCTTTCCTTCCCCAAAAATGTCGAACTTGACCCGTTTCAGAGGTGTCGCGCGTAGAAAATAGAACCGGCGCGTAAAGGCCGCGACATGCTGCTCCTGAGACGCGGCCGACTCGCGCTGCTGACGGCTCCAGTGGAAAAGGTTCTGTTGACCACAGCAGTTCCTATCAGCAGCTATGACGTGCTGCTGCAGTAACGTGCTGCTGACGGCTCCTGTGGAAAGCCGGGGTAATAAGAGGCTCTAAAAACAGCATGCAGAACGTTAGCTTACCTCTCGGGCAGAAAACCGGCAACAGCGGCGTCTGTGGGGAGCGGACTGGACCGCGTTATCCTCTTCCTGATTTCCATGAGAGTGTGGGGGTGCACAGAGTACGCATGCGCAGGAAGTGAAAACTAACCCAGGATTGGCTTCACCAGAAATTGACTATATTGCGGACCAGTGGTTGACGTGATCCACCCAGAAGAAAACAATCGATTGCTATACCTTTAAATACAAGTACCAATACTTTGATCATTTTTTACTCAAGTACAAGTAAAAGTACTTGCCTAAATTTTTACTTAAGTACAAGTAAAAAGTATCTTAAATAAAATGTACTCAAAGTAAAAGTTACTTAGTTACATTTTTGTCAGTGTAAGGATGGCTACATCTAAGTAGTGAAAAATCACAACGCCATTCACAACACGCCTGTGTGTGTGCACACAGTTTGATGGAGGGATTTTTATCCAATCAGTGAGAACTGGATGTGCACACTGATTGGATGAGGTTCTTGTAGGATTGTGATTAAAATTATTCTTAATTTTGAGAAAGAAAACATATTTTTAGACGCCATCAGCATGTGAGGTATCTCAATGTTCTCATGACAAAACTCCAACATGAGACTGTGCTCTAACCTGTCACATAACAAGCTAAATGAAAGTCAAACATTTCAAATGGACCGTATGACAACTGCTAACGTTGGCCCTGCCCTACTTTACCTCTACATTACAGTTCCTTTATCCATGTCCATCCTAGAGCTCCTCTCTGACCTTCATGCTTACTTAGAGCAGCTGAATTTTAAAGTTAGCAGAGTTCATCCTTGGTAGTGGGTTCACTCACTCATTTAACGCTTCACCACTGAAAGCTGTTTGTTCATTCCAATCCTCCTAAATAATCCTCCAATCATCCAACTGGAATCCTTAAGAGTCCCGTAACATCCATCCTATCAGAATAGGCCTTGGGAGCCCAGGTGTTACTAGAACTAATGGTGTCTCCTCACCAGCGTGAGCCTCCAAACTGTGAAGGTTGGTCTCCAAACATGAACTTTAAATTCATGCATTTATCTCCTCTTGTAACACTTGAACATGTTTTAAAAGGCTTGTATCATGATAAGTTACACCTCCCAGACCAAAGATGAGATTAAATAGTATCATAAACACTATTGAGACGTCATTTATGAAACACAAGTCATTTTTGTTCACCATTACTTCAACCAAATAATAAGATACATGGATTTGAGGAACCACACTGTCTCTTGCAGTCCTAAATGTGTAACACACACACACACGCCGACACTGCTGTACAAGTCTCGGACGACAGTACCCCTCCGAGAAAGAAGAAAAAAAGGCTTCAAAAATACAGGGAGGAATGGGAAAAGGAAAATTCCTGGCTGGAAAAAGTGCGCGATAACACCTATAAAGCGCACTGCACTGTGTGCCGACGCAGTTTTTCCATAGGCCATGGTGGACTGACTGACCTCAAGCAACATGCTTCTAGTAGTAGCCACATGAAAAACATAAAGGACGTGAAAGCACGGGGAACCCTCGATCAGTTTGTCGTCCACAAGGCCACGGCAGAAGCAGATATGGTACGTAAACATTGCTTTTTTAACCCTCAGGTTAAGGTGAAGGTATATGAAAAAATAAATAAAAACACTGTGTTGGGGCTTTTTAATTATTTTTGTTTTCTGTTTTTTGTTTGTTTCTCTTTTTTGTTTAATTTTCAACTTGGGTATTTAGTTTTGATGTAGCCTAGTCTTGGTTTATATGTTGTTTGAATAATTTAAAACTAAAAGAAAATTAAAATGAATGAGAGGTAAAACTGAGGGGGTAGGCTAAGTGTATACTTCTGCCTACTCCTTTTCAAACAACAAAAAAGGTTAATATGGGCATGTGCGATGAATATCTGTGGCATTCCCTTACGAAAAAGAAGTATAATTTAAGTATCTAATTTCAAGTATACTTAAGTGTACAGAAGTTTATTTGCATACTTGTTCTTAAAGTTTACTTAGAAGTATACTCCTTGGGACTAAATTGGGCCACTAAAAGTATACTTGAAGTATACTACAAGTATACTTCAAAGTAATAATTTAAGTTTATTTGTAGTGTACTTCTGATATAATTGAGTATACTTTTCTCTTTGAAAGTATACTTAAAGTAACCTTACAAGTGTACTTGGAGTGTACTTCAGATATAATTGAGTATACTTTTCTCCTTGAAAGTATACTTATAAGTTTACTTGTAGTGTACTTCTGATATAATTGAGTATACTTTTCTCCTTGGAAGTATACTTAAAAGTAACAATATAAGTTTACTTGTAGTGTACTCCTGATATAGTTGAGTATATTTTTCTCCTTGAAAGTATACTTATAAGTTTACTTGTAGTGTACTTCTGATATAACTGAGTATACTTTTCTCCTTGGAAGTATACTTAAAAGTAACAATATAAGTTTACTTGTAGTGTACTCCGTATATAGTTGAGTATACTTTTCTCCTTGAAAGTATACTTATAAGTTTACTTGTAGTGTACTTCTGATATAATTGAGTATACTTTTCTCATTGGAAGTATACTTAAAAGTAACAATATAAGTTTACTTGTAGTGTACTCCTGATATAGTTGAGTATACTTTTCTCCTTGAAAGTATACTTATAAGTTTACTCTTAGTGTACTTCTGATATAATTGAGTATACTTTTCTCCTTGGAAGTATACTTATAAGTTTACTTGTAGTGTACTTCTGATATAATTGAGTATACTTTTCTCCTTGGAAGTATACTTAAAAGTAACAATATAAGTTTACTTGTAGTGTACTCCTGATATAGTTGAGTATACTTTTCTCATTGAAAGTATACTTAAAAGTAACAGTATAAGTTTACTTCTAATAAAATTGAGTAAACTTTTGTCCTTGAAACTATACTTAAAAATAAACTTTAAGTAGCATTATAAGTTTACTTGTAGTGTACTTCTGAAATAATTGAGTATACTTTTCTCTTTGAATGTATACTTAAAATTATACTTAAAGTAATAATATATGTTTACTTGTAGTGTACTTCTTATATAATTGAGTATACTTACAGTTTTGAAAGTACACTTTACAGTAAACTTGACATAATATTCTTTTAGTACATTTAAGTATCTCTATTTTTTCTATAAACACATACTGCAAGTAACATTTAACATCTGCTATTTGCTTACTACCAATACATTTACTTTCCACTATTTACTGATACTTCGTCTTTATGCAGAGAAAAAAATTAAATAAAATAGCTAAGTCATTTTGTTTAAATTTATTAAACAGAGAGAATTAGAACAGAACAAAAACAGACCTGTTTACCAGGATTAATCAAAATGAGAACGCAAACTGTTCTGAACAT